TAGACGTTGCATGATTTTGGTTGGTGTTAAGATCACATACAAAGTAAAAGCTTAGTATCAAAACGCAGACGTTGAAAAGTTTATTATAAAGTAATCAATTAGTAAGTAGTTGTTTTGGTACCAAATAAAGACTTTTCTATTTTTCTTCCTTTCAATATATGTGTGTATGTAGGTTGGTAGTTACATAAACCTAGGAAGAAAAAATCTTCTTCTCTAATAAATTGTTAAGGAATCTACCTGTCATTGCTGATATTTCTTCCGTGTACTTTGTTGCTGGAATCCGTTCTGAGTGGTCTTTCTGTCTATAAGTTTTTTGACAGACTTTTTAATTTTGTTGACATCTATATATTCGGTGTCTGAAAGAAATGCTAATATATTTATAACATTGAATACTTTCATGGAAACACTACACTACATTTAATTTTATGTTTTGTCAAATCAGTTGTGAGCTAAAGACAACAGTAGTGATTCTGAAATGATGTATTCACAACATTTACTAAGAAGCCTATCTTATCTGAATGTGCATATTTTCTTGAAACGAAACGTAATAGTTGCATTCGTCATTGTGTTTTTGTCCAAGCAATGTGTGTTTGGATGTATGGGGACCGTTAGATTTTTTATACATCACCCTTATAATGCGCACCCTTTTGGAAAAAAAGGCTCTGCAGGTAGAGCAAATCTTTCGATGAATCTCGATTAAGCCTGCTATTGGTTTTTTAATAACGTTATATTTTTTTTAACATTCAGATGTTTTAAACGGTGGTGGCCTTAACTGTTATATTGCTTTTTTCGAATCCTGTATTCCTTTAATCAGTGTTATCTTTGTATATCTCTGAATGCTGAGTTTGAATCTAAGAATCTTTACGTGATAAGTGCATACTTATTGTGTTTTGTAGCAATTACATCAGCCATAGCGATCGCGTGCCAAGTTTCTGCATCTGACACAGTTATTTGTGGTTTTCCCATTTAAAATAATATTAAATTATACACATCCCTGCATTAAATGAGATCATTCTTTAATTGTGACACTAAATAAAAAAAAAATCCAACACTCACACCAATAAACCTAGCCCCAAAATAAGCCCTGTAAGGCCTGTGTTATGGGATACTAGGGTAACGGATAGAATACATATATGGTACATATATAAGTATATTTATATAGAAATACATTTAAAACATCCATGACTGGAGTACAAATGATGATGAATACCAGCATTCATCACACAAACATCTGCCCCCACCGGGATTTGAACCCGGGACCTCTCGAGTTGGCGACGACACCATGAAATCCGGCGTATAAACCACTCGGCCACGGAGGTCGTCACTGATAGAACATTACAAATTGAATCGTACACAAGTAACCTTATTACACCTTATTCGAGTAGGCTGCAGATAATATGGTCTAGTTCAAAGATTCTCAAACTTATTTTACTGTCCGCGGTTTAATATTTTCTAGCGCGCCGACTAAAAGCATTAAATGTGCAAAATAAATGCAACAATTTTACTGTATTTTTAATTTATTTTTAACCAGTTTCTATAACCGTAACATTGTAGAGTTTCATTAATAATTCAATAAAGTTAAATTAAAATAATACGATCACTTCCCTTTATTATTATCTATTGTCACATGATCGAAAACAGCTGTAATTGGTCGAACTTAAGTTAGCAATACGTCATGTCATCGAAAACGGCTATGATTTGCCGGGTCTAAAATGACATTTGCAGACTAGGGTCAACAAATATCAAACTCGAAAGAAGTTTCATACATTTATGTCAAAATTGAAACGTCAGAGTGAAAAGTTGCACTTGGAGCGTAGGTTTGGAACGCACCCAACGTACGGAACCAAACGTTTTAAAAAAAATGTTTTAAATATACTGATACAAAATTATAATGATTCAAAAGTTCTGGGTAGTTGAAGCTTCATGCATTGTATAGTTTTAGTTGTTAAAATGTCTGTCCATGTTAAGCCAAATTCCCTTACAAAGTGGGCATTGCCTTTTATAAAAAAAAGGCCTGAAAAAAAGCTTTTTTTACTTTGTTTCTGGAAAAACGCTTGCGTGTACGCCTGAGTAACGGAGCAGTTTTTGTCAATTGACATTAGACCTCAGCTAAATAATATGTGTAGTATGGAATTTTTAAGCTTATTTAAAATATATCAACGCACACCTATATTTATTAAACCTTTTATACCAAATTATAAAGCGCGTTTTATTATATTATTACTCATCATCATCATCAGCCTATCAATGTCCCCACTGCTGGGGCACAGGCCTTCTCCCTTATCAAGTTCTTAAAAAACAGATGCAACCTGTACCCCTAGCATGAGTACAGCATATATCACGTTTTTATCACGCTCAATTGTCAAAGTACTATAAGTTTGACAGTTAGACGCAATAAAAAAAGTTATATACATGTATATCGCGGTGCTTATGCAATGGGGACAGACGGGCGCGAGGTCGTAAATTTTTGGTCTCCAATGCAAAAGTTGTTTCACTTCTACCGAACTCAATTTTCTCCGCATCATCATGCTCCTCGAGAAGATTTGACAATCGGAAACATGCAATACTAGGAAAAGACGAACAATGGCCCACACCATAAGTGCCAAACTTAGAGAGAATAGTGCATTACAGAGATAGACTCTTGCCTAAATCGAAGTAGAGTGTAAGTTTATTATAGACGGCATTTTTCTAAAACAATTTGAGGTGCGAGAACCTGATTTGGAATTGAGGCTTAATTACTTTTATGCATTCAACAGCATTAATCCCCAATCCCAGTTGATGTTAAGTATAAGCGAAGTCCAGTTACGAAAAAAGCTGAAACCTTACCTATGACATACTGTGGTCTTTTATAAAGGGAGGCTACTTCAACTATACCCTACCTCTGATCAACTCAAACCCCCTTATTAATAAATAAGAAATAAGCTTAGACTAGTTACACCGTGTTTTTTTCATGTCACTCAAATGCCATTTGTCATTCAACAAACAAAGACAAAACATGGACTAAGTAATCCAAGCTTATTCTGCGTTTATTATTAAGGGGGTTAAAGTTCAAATGACAATATTCAAAATATTAATATATGACCTCCGTGGTCGAGTGGTTTCAACGCTGGGTTTCCAGGTGTCGCCAACTCGAGAGGTCCCGGGTTCGAATCCCGGTGGGGGCAGAAGTTTTTTTAATGAATACGAGCATTTGTACTCCAGTCTTGGATGTTATATGATATTGTGTATTTCTATATAAGTATATTTATAAATGTATCAGTATACGTATTCTATCCATTACACTAGTATCCCAGAACACAAGCATACCGTGCTTACTTTGGGGCTAGGCTAATTGGAGGGGTTAAAAAATATATTTATATATTTAATACTCCTTCCCTGCTCTGCTAAAAGAGTATGCATGATGTTATGCTTCTCCCACACCTGCGCGACGAAGCTTTGGTACTAAATTGCAGGCGCTAAAATTAGCGTTTGAAATTTTAATTAAGTACGCTCCTTCAGCTGCACATACAAAGGACATTGGGCAAAAATGTATGAACTCTGCACCAAATCATCAATCAATCGTCTGTGCCAAAGTGCATCAAATTCCATCCCGGGGGTCTTTAGTAATTTATGTTAAATACGTACAAGTACTATACCGAACGAGCATTAATGAAACAAGTGAATTAATTTCCAATCCAGGAATCCCCGCATGGGTTAGGGTTTTTTCAAACAGTCTGTTCGTTATAGTAAATGGTCTTCTATGTAAAACGCAGATACCACAAATCACACAAGCTTTGGAGAATATATGATTCCAGTTCATCTATACTAATTGACAAAACTAATAATCGTGTTCCTACGTCCAAAGTGTGTTAGAGTCGACTATTTGCAACTGCAAGTCCTTCAATTTCCCCCTTTTGGTAAACCATTTTGAGGTGCCTCAGTAAGTGCAAGCGCAGGATGGTCGGCAGGCTTTGTCGTATATATGGTTGTATAGTACGATATGGTACATTATCATGGTTACTAATAATATAAAATGAACGTACTGCAAAATTTGTTTATTTAGCTACTTATATATGCCCAGATGACATATCTTTTGACTACCAGGATATTTTATTACGGTGTCATAATAAAAAAGGCTAGTTTTTCATAGATCTATCGATTCATACTAATTACATTGTTGGCGGAGCTGGGTGTGTTTTGCCCATTGTCCTTTATCGTCTCCCACAGCCTCTTTAATGCATGTCCAAAATCTCCAGTCAAGCTAGCGTCTAGCTTCTATAGACATTCAGCTCGATAATATTCATTACGATGGAACTAAATTAAAATTTCGACAGCTAATTTTAGCTCATTTAGTACCAAAGCTTCGTCGCGCAGGTGTGACAGAAACATAACAAAACACTGTAACCAGAGCAGGAACGGAGCATTATTATAATATCAAAATATATTGAACAGTATCATTTTATATAACTTCAAGAGTTTATGAGAGGTAAGAGTTTCGGACCACAGTAAGATAACGATGCCTTTGGTTGGTTTTGTCTTTCTGTTAGTAAGTAAGCTTTTAGCTTTTTTCTAAACAACTAGTGGGGTTGGGGAATAATGCTGCTAAATCCAAGCCTCGTCGCGCATATGTTAGAGAAGCATTATACAATAGTTACAAAATAAAACATGGGTATGAATATTTCCTTTGTAAAAGTTCAAAGACACCGCTGACTAATTTAGACAAAAGTAATAGGTACATATTATGTATCCTGAGATAGGGAGAAAGTCTTTAAAACCTCGTTAAATTTTTTAAACGGTCATTAAACGAATGATATCCAAATGGTTCATTAGTTCGTTTCTTCATTTTACTATTGATCTTTCGTGTGAGTACTCATAATTATTACTTCTAAAACTTTGTAAAAACACGGGAAGAAAATATTTCTTTTATTTTCATGCTAAAATTACTGAAAAGATATTTTATAATTGAATTTTCTTTACTTGCTTTGAGTGCAATAAATTAAAATAATGCTATTTTATGATAATGCTCTAAGGCCAATATGTTGTCAACGAAAGGTGAAACATATTGAAATACACTATCAGTTCAACCCGTGACTTGTCAGATCTCTATGGCATTCTATCACGTCCGCTGGCATGCGAAAATGATTCTGTCAAATTATTATTGTAAATAAATCTAATCCCCTCATTCTAGATCACATCGAGATAGAAATAGTAAAAATTCTCCGTCAGCCTCGGCCATGGCATTGGTGGCGAGATGGGGCGATATCGGCGTCCCTGTCCTGCGCAGCAGTTCATTCACCCGGCGGAGAGTGCGGAAGAGCAGCGCGGGCGCAGGTACGCTCAGGAACACTCCGACCATGAACCGAGACACATTTTATCAGTTAAACGGAGGTGTCGGCGCGCCTCGACGTGTGCCCAGCTCCAACATGACCCTCTAATAATCCGATACTCTGTCTGCATTTATATAGACTGAAAGCAACATAGATCTCAAGATAAGACTTATTAATTAATTTCTTCGCCCTATTTTTAAGTGAACGTTCGATGAGTGACGTGTGGATTATTTTTAAGTGAATTAGCTTTAGTGCGGAAACATTGACCGTGGATTTTCACAATTGGATTTCCCGTAGCACCCGTGCACCTGGATTGCTTTCCTGAGAACGGTTAGTACCCATTTCCTGTTATTACTCCCCTAATACTTTACTAACACCTTTCTTTACCCTTGTCTTTGGTCAGTGAAAAAGACATCAACGCGCGACATACTTAACATGACTTTATTGAGTACCAAGTAGTTGTAAACAAAATAACACAGATTTAATATATTTAATAAGCGTACACAATATATTAGCCTAATAACAATATATATTGTTAAAAGCATTAGCCGAGGTCACTGATCTTTTCATATAATATTTATCTTTAATCACGCCATAACTGATAATTGTTAACTGAATATTTGAACTAACTTTTATAAGCAAACTTTAAAACTTCCTTAACACTTTAGCTACTCTCCTATGTAATGCTTAATACAACTCTATATTTTAACTTTTCTTCCAGAGCATCCTGAAATTATGACTAGTTTCAATTTTTCAAATCAACACCTGCTGATATGCACAGTTCTTTTGTATGAAAATGATAATATATAACAAGATAACTATATTTGTAATCAAGAGTTAATACAGTAGAATAAACAATGCTGCCACCCTCTTATTATAGTGTTTGAGATTTAGTTGGTCAAACTTCATATAACAAGTGGTTTGATTACGATATGGAGATCAATGATATAGAATGTTTTTGATTTGTTTACAATCAACTTATGCAATAATTATGTTAAATATGTCGTATATAATACGGTAATAATATAGAGAATTCATATATTGACGAAAACCATAAATGAATTGCAAATATTCTTCCAAACTTCACATTGTGAACATTTCGCATCCAATATTATGTTGATTGCGTAAATTTTAGCCTTGAACGCACCTGACTATATAATGCACAATACAAAAACTATTTCTAAAAGCTTAAAAATTTCTAGAGTAGCCATAGTTTTTTAGTAAGGTTCGCAAAAAATGCATTGGAGATGTCCAGTTGTTCTAGATCCCTGCCGCTAGGAGATGGTTACGAGACTTGGTGTCGTACGTCATTTGGCCACCAAATCACAGGCCAATACACCCGTGTATATGTAGACGAATCTATCACTCACACACACGGAGCTATTGTTTGTTGGTCGTGCAAAAACTGAACCTTGAACTTCACCAGTTCGAATTCAAGGTAACGAAGCACGCGTGGTACCTATATGGCTTACGTAATGCCCCTACCCCCCTCGTCCATCCATTTATGGTAAAGTGACTTCCAGTCGAAATTAACAATGATATAATACAAAACACTGACAATATTTTGGTGGCCACTTTACACTGTCCACTTATAAAAAACATATAACAAAAAGCAAGCGATGTATGTGATTGGCACATTATTTGATTCATCAAAAGTCGAATCCTTAATTGAATCATAAGAACTTCTTATAAAATCTTAATGACATTTCAGGATTTTTTTGTCTGAACAAAATTTATTCGCTTTTAATATTAATCATAATAAAGCATTTTGGAAAAGAAATGAAAAAACAAGCATATAAAACATCAAAACACCACTCCTGGAAACAATTACATCCACAAATGAATGTTCTTCATAATATTCAAAAACCAACGTGGGAGATAGATTCTGAACATACACAAGTCAAATATTTAAACGATGACACACTACATTCTCTGTATATAATGATAGAGTACATTTATCTTTTAATAAGATTCGCACTCCATGGAGTGCAAACAGTAGATAGAGCTTGAAAAAAACAACCAGAAAACATGACACAAGCAAAGAAATCTAAGCCTAAAGCGGTGCGCAAAAGATGCAAATTACCAATCGAATCGCGCGCCACGATTTCGGCAATGACACTGACAACGAACGATGATATAACAACAGGCTGTCAAACCCGTGAAAACTCGGTCATTGAACCGCGGTGAGCTCGACTCAGTCCTACTTCCGACCGCTTTCGCTTATGCCAGTTTAACATTTACTCCGCAGACCATAAAGTCGAAAGTCAGTCTTACTTAATGGTAAATATAAAACAGTTAAGATTCGAACTCCAAAATTTGTGACGCAAGTAAATGGCAGCGATTGATTTAAGTTTTGTTTTATATTCATACGACAATATTTCTTCTTATTTAGCGAAACTCAATCAAAAACAAAACAAATAAGAATTACTAAAAACTAGACAAGTGCACAAGCAACAAGCTCGAGTCGGACTCGCCCACGGAGGGTTCCCGACAAATTTGACTTAGAAGTGTGATTTTTCACATCTTTATGAGACCATAGACCTAATAGTACATGGTTTAAATTTCAACTCGATACCTCCACGTGTTCTCGAGCTAAAGGTTCTTAACAGACAGACGGCCAACAAAGTGATCCTATAAAGGTTCCATTCTTCTTCTTCCAAACTTCTTAAAACGAACACTATATAATAAGCGAATATCAAAATATCAAAATTTAACAAAATTTCTCTAATAACATCAAACAGAGGAGTAGAATAAAAAATATTCTAATCAATTGCCACTTTGTTTTTATCAACACATGGTCCAGGAAAGTCCTTGATGGATAGAAAGTAAATGGCCGGCAAGCAAGCGCACGCGCATTCCGGGGGGAGGGGGGGGGAGAGGGGCAAAACCTGTCCGAGCAACGGTACCCAGGCCCCGGGCGCACGCACCCATTATGTAACACCCTTTTTCTTGGTCCAGTGCATCGCGGTGACCTTACCGATTGACTCATTAGTAACTGCACTACGTAGTCGACTCGCGCTGACGTTACGTTGCTACGCTGCACTCGCTCAAGGAAAACCTTTTATGCGGACTAGTGCGTAAACATTACGTAACAAAACCAGTATTACTTGTTAACAGTTAAATATAAAGTTTAATTATGCAAAGATTTTAAAGAAAAATGGTACTGAAAGCTTCATGAAGCGTGGGCGTTTGTTTCATTCGATGACTTGGGGAATTTCGTCTGTCATGCCATGCATTGTGCAGATATTAACTGTCCTGTCAATCATTATATTTTCAGAAAATCTTTACTCTTGAATATTTACAGACCCAGGGTCCTAAATAATTCATTTTGTTTTTAGTATAAACTTCATGTTTTGTATAAGAAATATATGATCGTTGATCTTCGAAAGTAAAGATAGGAAATCCGGTACGTGATATAAAAGTATCGATGACATATTGTCCGACATAGATGCGAATGGTCAGTCATATAGTATGTATGTCGCGAGGCTTCCGCCCGAGCAAACAGTTACCGCACCCGCACCATGAGTTATTTATGCTTTGAATACCGTTCATCTATTGTCCTCTCTCTCTCTTCATTCATATATAGACTTTACAATTTAGTTTAATAATCAACAATATGTGACAAATAATAAAAAAATGGTGTTTTGTAAACTAAATAATAAAATAACTTCCATTGCATTAATATCAAATTAGGAACTGGTAAAAGCAAAACAAAAGAATACAATGTACTTGAGTAAAGAAACATTATAAAGTGATTGGTTCTTTCTTATCGTGTTACTTGTTTTTATTGTTTTTAAAAAGTCATATCATTTTGACTTTCTTAAACTGCACTCAGGAAGTTTGCACCATCATGATTAGTCATCTTAATCTAAGGCTTTAAAGAGCCGCCGAAATCAAATCAACTATAATTTATTTAAAATAAACTTTGACTCGGTAAAAAAATTTACAACTGGTCATTAAAAGTATAAATATCTAAATAAAATCCATGCACCTATGCGTGAACGCAAACGGACAGACAATATACCTATGATGTGTTGTGGCTCGTCAAAATCTTGGCCCATACCGCGCGTCCCCGGTGCAATGCCACACTAGCGCTCTGATTTCACCCTCATTTATTTTTTCGGATAGACATAACGGTAATCGCCCGCGGGTACCGTAAGCCTATAGTGTGGGCTCTATGCCGCATACGTAACCTTACACCGTGATTAATATTACCTGTTACCTGCGCTAGCACGGGAACGTCCACGCATCTACGCAAACATCAATTTAATGCGTTGGGCGGAGATCAAGTTAAGAAAAAACTGAACAATACTTTAGAGATACCGTTTCGAAGTTTTCAACGGTGCATCGCATTAAGGTTCCTAAAATATTTTGATAAAATACCTAGAGATTATTCAAACTTGAGACAATGTGGCGTGAAGTGCATGTACTTCACGCCACATTATCTCAAGTTTGAATAAGAATGATAACGTTGTTGCCGTCCATTATTGCAATACAAGTTTTTTAATTACCCAATATAATACAAAAGGATCCATATATCTGTATGATTTACTATAATAATAGAAAATATTTTAAAAAATATAAGGGGAAATAATCCAAAAATAGAAATATGAATATGAAAGGAAAAATGGACCATACTACAATCCGCATTGGGCTCTCGCTGTGGGTAATGGCCCATTTTGGTGATTAAAGTGAAATATGTATCATCATTGATTTGAGACCTATCTCATGGTGGAATTTATATAAGATGCTTTGCAAACTCCGCATGGAATATAGTGTGGTTCTGCAATTTTAAATACATAATTATGTATTAATTAAAAATTTCAATAAAAATAACTGAAAATATGAAATGAAAAAGGATCACTCAATTCGATTACCAATACCAAACTAAGTACATACTCCTGGTTCGGGATACTGAATTATTGATAATATATAAATAACAAACCTACAAACATGTTTGATGATGTAAACAAACATGACTCCATTACATAAGCTTGTGCCGATTACCAAATAAATGCCCCTTCCGGGATTTGACCCCATGACTTATGGAGCAAAGGACAGGCAGCACCGGCAACTCGTCAAAGTCATTACCATCGTTCCATCCTGTTATTAAACTAACAAAAATTACTATACAATGTTCAAATTGCGACGTATATGAAATAAAATGAATGCATAAATATACTTATAATTTTATTGGAAACATATTATTCTTTAGCGATTTACAAAATTGACACACAAAATTCACATTTAATCATCATCGACCGTAGTCATTAATCATAAAAAAATCTCTTTATAATAATCCCCGAACCCAAATATCCTCCAAAATTTAC